CTGAGGTCCCAGCTGGCCCACCGCTGCGTCCCGCACCTGCACAAACCGCTGAGTCCGCGCTGCAGCTGCACCTGGCCCACCTGGCCGCTGAGAGGCAGGAGAGAAGGGATTGGGGGGGGGGCGCGAGAAGTGGGAGCAGAGACCCCGGCGGCTTCCCGGTGCCCAGCTGCTGGGGCCTGGGCGAGGTCCTGGGGAGGAAGCTGGACCAGGGGCCCTCTCTTCTCTCACGCGAGGCGTCCGTAAAAAGTCCATAATGAGATTAAAGGATCACTTTGTAACATTAATTTTTTTATTAAGAAGACAGATATTTTATAGTACTTCTTTTTTTCTTTTTTTTCTTTTGTAAAAATGGTATACGTGAACCAATACAAAATGCGAATGGGAACACATGGATATGGAGTTTCTTACATCGGCACACTGTTCATGTACACCTTAAAAACAGAGCTGGCCTAGAGGGAAAATAGACGTCGCTGTGACTAAAGAACAAGCTTATTTGGCATCAATTATACATCCTTCATTATTTTATATTCCTTTAAAAAACACAAAAAACAAGTTTGTTCTTTCTTCACTCTAAAAAAAGTGATCAACCTGTACAAAGTAATACTCAACAATACATTTCAAACAGTGCACTGTATACTTAAGAAAAATACATAAACCAATATACAACTAAAATCCATAATTTCCTGTTTTTGCTTTGTTTTATTTTATTTTTTCCAATGTGTGGGGCCTACACTTAGCAATCTACCTGAGACGGAAAACACCAATCGAAACACATGGACCTGAGACATGTCAACATCGTAAGCCATAGAGTTACATCAGGAACACCGCACTACTGTACACTTTTCAGAACAGAAAGATGGGAGGTCCCAAAGATGAGATGCCAATTCTGGAGCAATGCTAGGCTTCGTTTTTTATTATCCTAAAAAGAACAACTGAAAAAAACCTGTTGACAACATGCTCAATGATTCTCACCCTTGGATATGGTCACACTATGGTCAGAATGGGTGCTAAGGGCTCGGAATAGAGCTGCACATTATAAAATTCAGTGAAAAAGGGATGTTCATTGTGGCTTTTTGTCTTGGTTAAGTGCCTCGGGAGAGGAGGGGGAACACTGCTGCTCCATGGAGTTTCTCTTTCGTACCAGTCCGTTCCCAAAAGGCCCCATATTGCAAATGGTTCTATCAAAGGTTAAAATAAAGACAAGAAAAATAAACACGCTTTCAAGTAACAAAGAGTTGACACTTTTTCCCCTTAAATAAATCAGCGTAAGTTTTCCACATAATGTAACAATAGTAAAAATGCACCTTGCAAAATCCAAAGTTACTCACTGAAAATGTTATATAATATATATTTATATATATATAGATCTATCTTTTGGATGCCATCTTTCCATAGGGACTGTGTTCTGGAGTCTGGAGCCTCCCCAAGACACATGGTAAGAGTTTATTCTGTCCTTCAGGACTACTTCTAGGTTCCCTAGACGTACATTTCTTTAAAAAATGTAGAGAGCAACCGGACTCCTCCCCCTTTTCCCAAGGCTCCCACCCAAGATGCGCTCGGTAACTGATTTAGTAGCTGTGCGCTATGGCTGCATCATGCGAGGATCTGTAATTTTTTTGGCAGATGGTTCTTAAGGCTGAGGAAAGAGGCCAAGGCTAGTGTATGAAAGGTAAGAAGATAAAAACACTCACACTTGAGTTCTGATTAAGGAACTGAAAACCCCTCGACGCTGTTTTCCCACCTCTGCTGACCTTTTGAGAACTGAGACCGACAGCAGCCCAGTGTGAGAACAGCACTGGCCCTCCTCTTGTACCCCCTGCCTTTGTCGAGCCAAATCTGAAGGAAGGAAAGTTTCACAGGGATTCGAGTTGGAAACCCCAGCATGACAAATATCTGTAATATACAGTACATGCAGGCCACACCGACTGCCTTCCGAACTAAGCCCAAAGGGAAAACCCTGCCCCACTCAGTCGTTCTCCCACCGCACGGACTTGCTTCCTCCGACGTTCGTGAGCAGTAAGGCCGACTGGCAGAGGCGGATGGAATCATTGGAACAGAAATAACCGGAGCAGAACTATCTCCCCCTCCCTAATTTCCCTCCTGTGGCAACTCAAATTTGTCCACTTATATAAAAGGAACAGCCCTCACTGTCAGGTCTGTTTAGGGTATTGAAAAAGGAGGAGCCCTTTCCACCCCAAACCTTTCTGGACAGTGTGGGGTATCTATGCTGAGCCGTCTACAGACACAGAATTAAAGACAGATTCAACCTCGTTGACACACCTCACTTGCAGGTAACCCTGTACAGTAATGTAGTTCCACAGCAAACAGAACAGTTTCTGAATCACAGTCTACGTTTCTAGTCTTCGCTGCTCTACGTACTTGAAACATGGGCAGCAGCAAAGAGTTCTCATTGTTTGTTCACCCAAATCTTTACAACAACAGAGAAGAATGCATATGGATACACTAAATTCCGAACTATGAAATCTAAGCTGTGCTGGTTCTCCTTCTATGAAACTGAAATTTGAACAGAAAGCAGTTACTTCAACAATAAACAAAAAAAGTAAAAACAAGAGCAAAACAAGGGGGAAAAGATCCTAAGGAATCCCAGCAGGCAAAATCCAAAATGGGAGATTTTGGGGGGGGGGAATCAATTTTTTGGGGAAAAATAAATGCGCACAGAGAAAAAGAAAAAGAAAAAAAAAAAAAAAAAAAACACAACGAANTACAGACACAGAATTAAAGACAGATTCAACCTCGTTGACACACCTCACTTGCAGGTAACCCTGTACAGTAATGTAGTTCCACAGCAAACAGAACAGTTTCTGAATCACAGTCTACGTTTCTAGTCTTCGCTGCTCTACGTACTTGAAACATGGGCAGCAGCAAAGAGTTCTCATTGTTTGTTCACCCAAATCTTTACAACAACAGAGAAGAATGCATATGGATACACTAAATTCCGAACTATGAAATCTAAGCTGTGCTGGTTCTCCTTCTATGAAACTGAAATTTGAACAGAAAGCAGTTACTTCAACAATAAACAAAAAAAGTAAAAACAAGAGCAAAACAAGGGGGAAAAGATCCTAAGGAATCCCAGCAGGCAAAATCCAAAATGGGAGATTTTGGGGGGGGGGGAATCAATGTTTTGGGGAAAAATAAATGCGCACAGAGAAAAAGAAAAAAAAAAAAAAAAAAAAAAAGAACACAACAAACAAACAAAAAACAAGGCACAGAATTTTCTGCAATCTACCCAAACTAAATCCAAGCGGCCAAGTTTGACTTGGTAGGAAGAAATAAAAATTCAAAAAACTAAAGCAAGCGAACAAAGAGGTGTCAAACAGCAGAGTGTACTTTCAAAGAACATTTTTTATACAGCAAACCCCAAGCCTCCCAGTCTCGCACCTTGCCACCCATTCTTAAGAAAACACACGAATTTCTCGCAAGTTCCAATCTCACTGTCTCTTTATCGTCTAAATAGGGCAGCGGGACACCTCATGGAAACAAAAAGCTGCTCTAGATGAAGTACTCTTTCTTTTCTTCCGAGTTGGTCTGTCCTCCTTCTGCATTGATTATAGCTGTGTCTGCGTCTGCTGCGTCATCGGCTCCTTTGGCTTCATGAGTGAAGTATGTACCTGAAAGATGAAGGGGTAAAGCACGGTGACTGTCTGATGGCCTGTGTGCAGTGGCGCAGAGATGGCGACCTGCTTTATGGCATCGTCAGCCGAAGTGGCACACAGGCAGCAGGGCGGAGAAACGATTGGAAGGAGAGAGCGGGCGGGGGAGACAGATGGGGATCCGGGGCTCCAAAGGCACCACTCCAACGGCACCGCTGCGATATAATCCAGCAAATGAGACATGAGAGCAGTGACGATGACCGGGGATGTCGGCGGGAGACGTGAGTGGGAGCTAAAATGCAGAAAGCCGGAGAGCTGCTGACTAACACACACAGTCAACGCCCGGGACCAAGGACCAGATATATGCACACACGTGGTTAAGGACCGAAGCAAGAAAGAGCCATTAGCCAATAAATGAATTAGGGCCCCGATGATGCTCTACCGTCATCTCGGACCGCCTGCCGGACCCCCGCTCCCGCCCGCCTCCATCAATCACTGCTGCCTGTCCGTGAGAATGCGCTCGAACTCGCACAAGCACATTTGGTTTTCTCCTGCTTTCTGTTTCAGGGTGGGGATCCAGATGGAGAAATGTCGGATATTATAACAGGGGTCATCAAGGCTCGGGTCTGCCTGAAGCAGCAGGGGAGTCGCCCACAGTGTAGTTCTCGCTGGACCCAGATTCATGGATTTGGTAACTGGCACGACTACTTTATAACGACAACAGACAGGACAGTACAAAGTTGGTGACACGCTTATCACCAAGTCCCAACGGTTTACGTGAAGAAAGACCAGGACTGCACTCAGTGGATGCAGTGGAGCTCACACTGCCTACGTCATAGCCAAGTCACCCTCCTCCCTGTACACACTGTCTTCTTGAAGACTCTTGAGTAGAACAAGGCTGGTACCTTTGCTGTTTCAGGTTTTCAGAGTGACAAGCCTGAGAGGGCGGGCGGTCAGCGCCCCCCAGCCCCTCTCCTCTGTGGAGAGCGTACCTGCCCTCTCCCCCTGGCTCTCCACAGCCCAGCGCAGACTCTGCCCTGCTCCCCGGCTTTGTCAAGCTTAACCCTGAGAGGCGGCGAGTTCTCGGCCCGTCTGCCTCCTGGGTGTGGGAAGAGGGTGAAGAATGCGTGGCTCTGAGGTCCCACATGGTTTGACGCTTGAGACTGGCACTTTGGATCCTAAAGGTGGTTGTCAAGAACCTTGGACTTCATTGCTGAGCTGAAGGGACCATCCCCAAACCCAAGTCCTCCAAGCAAGCAGTATGCAAGCGCCTAGAGTTCACACTACAGGAAGCCCCGCAAGCTCACTGCACAGCACTTGAGAAAAACAACCGAGAAAGACAAGGGCCGACAAAGAAAAGGGGGAATTGCCCAGAGGGGGGAGGAGAGGATCAGAGCAGCACGGGGCAGGGAGGAGGACACTGGAGAGATGATTGCCCATCTAGACTGCACAGTTAAGTGTGTGATTAATGGCAATTTAAATCAATTGCACTGATAATTTTAAAAATACATATTTATGTGGCTTCTAAGGCACATCAACCCAAGGAAATGTTCTAGCCACTGTGGCGAGCCTACCTGGAGTCTGGGGCCAAGGAGCAGAGCTGGTTCCCCTGCTCCCCAGAAAGCAGGAGGTTATGGGGGTTCTTTCTGTGCTTGTATGGGGTTCACGCCACACCTCGCACGCCAGCCCCACCTCTGTGGCTTTCACTCTATCCCCGATTACAAACTGTAAGGTAACAATCTATAAAGCTTTAGAGAAAACCCAAATCAAGGAGTGTTTGCTGCTCATCAGCTCTCCGAGTCCCAATCAGCAGCTGCTACAATTTGTTTATTTCCCTCTCCGTTCCAGGAGTCAAAGGGGCTGTGCAGCCGCATAGCCTACGGCCCACCAAGGACAACCCGGTCAAACCCCTGACCCTGGCTGGGGGGCAGGAGGCTCCTGCCTTCCGGGCGCCTGCTTACCTTTATGCCTCGCGAAATAGCGCCCCAAAATGATGAGCAAGCACAGCATGGCGAACACCACCACGGCCACGACACCGCCGATCACCGCGTGGTCCACTGCCCGGATGGAGCCTTCCTCGCCTGCTCGGGAATCTGTTGAAAGCAGAAGAGGAAGAGGGGTGTAGAGCTCATCAGGGGACACCAGAAGCCCCGGCAACGCTGCCTCCAGGGCCGGAGGGGCCTCCTTGTCTAGTGGAGGGGTCGGAGAGGACACTCTAGAGATGGACGAGTTCCACGGAGGGAGCAGACTGACCTGCCCAGTGCTGGGCCGACCCGCTCTCCCACGGGCCATTCCACTACAGGCAGCACGGGAGCACTAATGCACGTGGAACACGCTCAGGGGCAGGGCGGGAGGAAGTCCACCCCGGCCTGATGGCCCGAGTGTCCACGCTGTCCACCCGGGTGCAAGCCCTACCAAGGAGGCAGCCCGAACTAAGGGCGCAGCACTTGGAATGGGGTTGCACCTTTAGGGAGTAACGGGGGCTGTGGAGGGAGGCAAGACGCCCAGGGACTTAGTCTCCGCCAGGCACAGGCACAGGCACAGGCAAAGTGAGGCGCTCCAAGCCACAGCTGCCCGGAGATAGAACAGGGATTATGAGACTAAAGACCAGCGGCATGCTTGCTACATTTGAGATGTAGGAGGGAGAAAGCCTCAATCTAAAACCTAAAAACTTATTTCAAAAAAGACAGCAAGGAATAATTGTCCATTGCCACAGACGGCTTTTATTTTATTTATTTAGCACTTCACAGTGCAATTAATTTCCCCCTATAAGCATCACTCCCTCAGGATGTCTTCTTCCGACTGAGGAGAGACACGTCTGGCTGGGGAACAGCTCGCAGTGAACCCGAATGAGCTATGGCGAAGCAGAATGGATGTATGGCAGGGTAAACAATTCTAATGTAGGACCGTGGCTACATCACCCCTTGCTGAAGCCCTAATGGCACCCAGGATTTATAGTGTGGTAAAAACAATTATTCTCCCGTTGATTAATACATTAACATTTTGGAGTGGAAGCTAAACCATTGTCTTTTTTTTTATTGAGTCAAGTACGACACCTCCATTAAAATGATTTACTAGCTGTACCTTACAATTTAAGCACAGCAGCAACAGAAACGGTAAAAATCTTTTAACTTTACATGATTTGTGAAGTCATATGTGAAGGATTTACCATTTAAATCTTTCAGTACAAGAAGCGCATGGCCTATAAATCTGTCCCCCGCAGTCGCTGGACGCCCGAGAGAAATGCATTTCACAGGGAGACTGAGAGTGCAAATTCTAGTCAATTTTTAAGAAAGATTTATCTCTGTCTCTCTGCAAAGAACAGAGCAAATCTCTGAAGCCTCCACCTCTAATAATATTTGAAGTTTATCGATCAAGTGTACAGATCCGTGACAGCTAAAGGTAATGGTGCTCTTTTGAGCCGAAACCTGATACAGCGCTTTCAGCAGGAGGCATGATTTACACTTTCTATCGATATTTCCAATTCTGCTCTGAGATTAAGTACTGAAGGACGTGGGGAAATAACTCGTGACGGAGGGGTCCATGGAAAGCGCTTTAATTAAAAGAGTTTAAATTAAAAAGTGAAGTATTTAAAGTGTTTCATTAAGTTACCTTCGAAAGGACTACAACCCCCCCAAATCCAAACCCAAACAGAAACGCCGAGTCAGAGGCAGC